TGAATAAACCTTTCCTTTCCTTTTCACAAATCTCTGGCATTGAGAGATGTCTTTCTCTGGCGGCAGACAGACTAGCCCAGTAGGTATTAGCATACCGTCCTTGGGAAGGGGGGCCCTGTTGTTCTGTAGCAGTTTTTGGCATCCCTGGGTGGGCCAAATATTGCCCCCCTTGCACTCCTGTTCGGTAACACTTCTAGGTTCCCTCGTGTCCTGTCCTTATCAATCACCCACTCCCCAAAGGTAACACCACCTTGGCCTCTATCATTTTAAATTGGTTTTGCCTGTGGGTTTTTTTTAAGATTTTATTTTATTCTTAGTAAGAGGATAAGTGAGGGGAAAAGAGAGGGAGAGAAACATCAAATGGTTGCCTCTTACACACCCCCAACTGGGGAACTGGCCCGCAAGTCAAGAGTGTGTCCCCATGGGGAATAGAACCGGCCATCTTTCTGTTTGCAAGCTGACGCTCAATCCACCAAGCCACACTAGCCAGGGCAGTTTTGCCTGTTTTTGAAGGTAATTTAAATAAAACTTAAATCTACTCTTGTATGCCTGCTTTTTTTCACTCAGTATTATGTTTGTGAGGTTTACCAGGCTGCTGTGTGAGGCAGGGTCCATTCTTTATCATTACAGTAAAGAAATGTTATGAGTTTACCACAGCTTATCTGTTCTACTGCTGGACATTCTTTTCCTTGTCTCTTTCACTCACTTCTGTTGAGTATTTTACATAGGAGTGGAATTCCTGGATCATGGGAATGTGCTTCTTCAATCTTAGTAAATACTGCCAGTTTTCCAAAAACGTTTTATCAATTTACAGTCTAACAAGGTATGAGAATTCCAGTTGCTCCACATCCTTACCAAATCTTGGTATCCTCCGTGTTTTTTTAGTAGCTATCCTGATAGGCATGTATACTAATACATGCCTTGTATTGGTATACAGTCAATTTGCACTTCACTAATAACTAACCTGAGTACCTTTCCTTTGCTTATTGACTATTTGCAAATCCTCTTTTTTGATACACCTGATCAAGCCTTGTGTGGTTTGTGTGTGTGTTGATGACTTTTTCTTATTAATGTGTGGGACTTCATTGCATTTAAAAATTTTTTTATTTTCAATTACAATTTACATTCAATATTATTTTTTATTAATTTCATTTGTACAGCACAGTGGTTAGACAATCATATGCTTTACAACATGTTTCCCCCTGATATTCCCAGGACCTATCTGGCACCATACATAATTATTACAATATTATTGACTATATTCCCTATGCTGTACTTTACATCCCCATGGCTATTCTGTAACTACCAACTTATACTTTTTAATCCCTTCACCTTTTTTAGCCAGTCCCCCAACTCCTCTACCCTCTGGCAACCCTCTTTTTTCTCTGTATCTATGAGTTTGTTTCTATTTTGTTTATTTTATTATTTAGATTCCACATATAAATGGAATAATATGGTATTTGTCTTTCTCTGTATGACTTATTTCACTTGGCCTAATAGGCTCCATGTTGTCACAAATGGTTAGATTTAATTCTTTTTTATGGCCAAGTAATATTCCTATGTAAATATGTACTGCTACTTTTTTAGCCACTTGTCTATTAATGGGCATTTGGTTTGCTTTCACATCCTGGCTATTGTAAATAACATTGCAATGAACATAAGGGTGCATATATGCTTTCAAATTAGTGTTTTAGGTTTCTACAACTGTATGAGTATACCCAGGAGTGGAATTGCTAAGTTATAGGGCAGTTCCCTTTTTAATTTTTTTAGGAACCTCCATACTGTTTTCCACAGTTGCTGCACTAATCTGTATTCTCATGAACAGTGCACAAGGGTTCCCTTTTCTCCACTTCCTTGCCAATGCTTGTTATTTATTTATTTATTGAAGACAGCCATTCTGCCAAATGTGTGGTGATATCACATTGTGATTTTATTTTGCATATCTGATTGCAAAATAAACTGATTACTGATTACTGGTAATTACTGACGTCTATTGGCCACTTGTACGTCCCCTTTGGAGAAGTGTCTATTCAGGTCCTCTGCCCACTTTTTAATTGGATTGTTGGGGGGTTTTTTGGTGTTGAGTTGTATGACTTCTTTACAAATTTTGGATACTGGCCCCTTATCAGATGTGTCATTGGCATATGTCTTCTTCCATTTAATAGGTTGTTTTTTTATTTTCTCGATGGTTTTCTTTGCTGTGCAAAAACATTTTAATGTAGTTTCATTTGTTTCTATTTTTCTTTTGTTCCCCTTGGCCAAGAAGATATATAAGAAGAAAATATTGCTAAGAGAAATGTCAGAGATTTTGTTGCCTATGATTTCTAATAGGAGTTTTATAGTTTCAAGCTTTATATTTAAGTCTTTAATCCATTTTTAAGTTTATTCTTGTATAAGGTGTAGGAAAGTGGTCTGACATCAAAATCACAACTAAACTATAGAACAACCATCATTCAGAACTGTCACAAATTGAGCTGAATGAAAGTCCTACAACTACAGAATTAAAGAAGAAACTACAGCAGGAATGGTAGGAGAGGTGGAGATGCAGAGTGGACTGGTCCCACACCCATGTGGATAAAAATCATGACGAATATCTCAGGAACAAGGTGTCCCAGCCCCAAATCAGTCCCACAGCCCAGATTCCAGTGCCAGGGAGATAAGAACCCATAACTTCCGGCTATAAAAATCAGCAGCGATTGAGGCTGTGGAAGGCAGAAACTGCTGGAATCCAACTTTATTTGGATTATTTTTTGGTCCACTTTACTGTTTTACTTTTATGTTGGGTCTGTCTGGCTCTTATCGGGTTTTTGTTATTTGTTCCCCTGACTTCATCCATCCTTGGGTTTGACTGGCACAAATGGCACTAATTGGGTGACTTAAGCTATGTATTCTCTGGTTAGGGGAGAGAGGTATAAACCATTTACTCTCAAGTATCCTTGGTTAGAGAAGATAAAGTCTTACAATTTCTAATGGGCTATAAGTTGTCAAAATTGTTTGGCCTTGTTTAATTACCTTGTCTTAGTTTCCCCATTCCACTTACCCAGGAATTTGCCTAGCTTCTTACCATCCTACCTTCAAAGGACATTTTCAGGTCTTACACTCAAGTTCCTGACTTTTCTATTTGCCCTCTGGACGCCTACACCAGTATCTCCAATTTATTATAGTCTAAGACGGAACTCACTTTTCTTTCCTTTGCCACTAAACACACTTCTCCTTTTTCCCACTTTGAAGAGTACCTTCCACCTCCCAACCCCACCATGAAAGCCAGGAAACCTGGATGGCATCGTGACTCCGCCTCTCCCATGCCCCATGTCTCATCTAGTACCAATCTCTTCACTGCTACCAATCCCCACAGAGTGCCCAATTCCAATGCAACTTCCACACAGCCTCCAACATGATATTTCTAAAATATAAATCAGATGTTACTTGTCTGCTAACAGTCCTTCTGTGGCTCCAAACTGCCTAGATAGTAAACCCCAAGCACATCAGTATGGGCGGTAATAGTCCTTCAGGATTCTGAAGGCCCTGCCTGCTTCCCCAACCTCTTTTTTCCCTGCATCTCCCTCCTAACCAATGCCCAAACACCACAGGAACTATTGGTAGTTCCCTGAACTTGCCAACTGACTCCACACTCTCCTTTAACATGGAGACTCACTCTTGGAAACTCCACACCTGCATGTTTACTCCTGCTTTATTTGCTGGGCCGACTCCTACTTGCTCTCAAGACTTCACTGAGACTTGACCTGCTCAGGGATTTAGCAACTTATATAAGAACAGTTTCACTATGAATCTATTGTAGCTTTCTTTTTCAAGTCTTTTAAGGCATATGGATTAGTGTCTAATCCTAAATACTTTTATACAATAGTGAAGGCACCACAGTTTAGAGTAATGCCACAACTACAGAAGTGGATTTGTTTCCTTAGTCACAAGCTGGAGCCTTAAAATCTGTACTGAACATTTATAAGTATTTATGAATGGTGCTTTCATTACTCATGGCACACCAAGGCAAAAATAACTTTTCTTAAACCAGATTTCTATAAAGAATGCTGTTTATCTGGTTCAGCTGACCTCATTCATTACCAGAATCTTCATCTAACAGCTTGGTTGGCATTAGATAGACAAGAAGGCAGCTGAAGCTGGCAAAGTCACCAAGCTGTCCAGAAAGCTCAGAAGGCTAAATGGGTATTACCCTCAATTCCTGTCACTTCAGTCTTAATCAGGGGTGGAAGTCTCAGAACTATATATCACAACTGACCATTTAGGTTTAATAGACAAAGAATGGTTAATGATTACAATGCATGGTAAAAGCTTCAAAAGGAAAAGAGAATGTTTTGTGGACCATTTGGGTTTGTCTGTGTGAGTGGCACTTTTTAAGTTATTAGTTTTTTAAATCAGTACTTTTTAATGGAAATAACTTCACCAAAAATTTGTCACGGCATTTTAAGACTCATTTAAATAAAGTTTAATGAGAAACTTGTGTATTCTTTAGGCCAACACTGAAACCCCCTGTAGTAGTAGAAATGTAAAAGACTTGAGTAAGAGTTTCCCATAATATTTCTGGTGTTAAATCTGCTGCGTTAGAATTTGATCATTTTATTTAACATTGGAACTGGGGGGGGGGGTTGTTACACCTGTCTAAAGGGGAGGAATCATCTATTTACATAGTAAAAAGCTATGGGAAGAGGTCTGATGGTGCAATACTAACTAGGTTAGGACAAAGAGTAATTTTATGTTTGAGCTAGTTATAAAGGCCAATTCTGTTATATTAAAGCCCATGTGTTTGTTGCCTAGGTACAAAGTTTTCTGTAGATACATAATACTGAGTAATTATTTAGAGGGGCATATACTTGGGAACAAGGTAGAGCAGAGTAGGAGCTGCACGGCGGCGTAAGAAGGGAGACTACAACGACTTCCTTCCGCACACAACAGTCCTCAGCCAATCACTCAGGCGCCAGGGGGCGGGGCGGGGTGGGGTGGGGCTGCCCCCCTCCCCCGCCTCCAAGCCTCAACAATGCCTGGGAACTGCGGACTGTCAAGCTATTTCTGGCTCACAGGCCCTCGCAAACACGTTATTTTCACGTCAGGCTTCCCTCCCCCCCACCCCACGGTGGATTAAGCGAAGGAGCGAGCAGGCTGCGAAGTGAGTCGGCCGTAGGCAGCCTCTGACCCTGCAGTTCTCTCGGTTCAGTCCAGATTCTCGAGCGCCCGGAGAGCCATGCTACGGAGCTGCGCCGCGCGCTTGCACACGCTCGGGGTCCTGTGCGATGTGTCAGGCCGCGTGAGGAGCTCAGGACCCGCGCGGGTGAGTTCCGCGGGTGGAGTGGCCGAAGTGGACGTTGTAGATTTTCTGTCAGGAACGTGCGCAGTAGCAGATACGTTACGCTATTTATCTGTTACCTCAACCAGTTGATCTCAGATTAAAAACTAGCCTCAGCTCCGAAAGGCTTTAGTATTGCCAAGGTCAAAGGATCTATCAGTCCTGAAATTTAAACCAAGAGAGATTAGTAGGGGGGTTACCCCCCTTTCGAAACCGTGCAGGGTATTTGGTCTGTATGTGAAGGATTGCCACTTGCTATTAATAAAGTTATTCCAACGAGGTCTCAGAAAACACGTAGTGCGGTTGGGTCAGAATCCCTGCAGGGTGGCTAATAACCATTAAATGATGCCATACGACAAGAGCACTCTCTTACACAGGTTTGATCCTAATTTTCTCTGCTTGTCAGATAATCATACCCTTTCTAAGCCAGTTTTCTCGTCTTTAAAGGTTGTTATAAGATAAGGAGCCCTGGCTGGTGTAGCTCAGTGGTTTGAGCGCGGGCCTGTGAACCAGACAATCGAGGTTCAATTCCCAGCCAGGGCACATACCGGGGTTGCAGGCCGGTTCTCTGCAGGCCAGTTCCCAGCAGGGGATGCACAAAAGGCACCCATACATTGATGTTTCTCTCCCTCTCTCCTTCCCTTCCCCTCTAAAGATAAATAAATAAAATCTTAAAAAAACAAGAATATGTTAAAAAAATCACTTTGCCTCAGCTCCAGACCCTCTGGGAAAGGAGACTGAGGCCCAGAAAAGTGAATGTTTAAAAAAAAAAAAGAGAGAGAGAGAGAAAATGTTAAAGTTTTTTTTTATTAAAAAAACTAGAAAAAAAGATTTAAAGGAGATACTGCAAGTAAATGTTTAACACACTGCCTGACATTAGTGGTAGATAAATATTGCCTTATATCACTGTTCTTATTACTATGTTTTGTTTCATTGTTCATACAATTAATATTAGTTTAGTTTGGAAGAAAGAGGTGAAATTGCAACATTTGTACTGTGTACAATGTGCTATAATGAAGTATTGGGCTGACCAAAAAGTCCATTATGTTTTTCCATACCATGACTCTAGTAGTGCTTAGTTGTCTGTAACTTCATTCAAAACAATTTCGTTAGATTGTATTGTCAAATACAAGCTGTCAAGTCAGTGTGCATTTTTAAAAAACATCAAAATTGGTGAATTTTTTTGCGGAGATTTTAATACTGAAAATGGAAGAAGATATGCAACACTTTTGGCATATTATGCTTTATTATTTCAAGAAAGGTGAAAACACAACTCAAGTGCAAAAAAAAGATTTGTGCTGTGTATGAAAAAGGTGCTGTGTCAAAAGTGGTTTGAGAAGTTCCTTGGTACTCTTGACATTTTGGCCAAATAATTTTTTGCTGTGGGCTGTCGTATGCCCACATACGAAGATGTGGAAGATGTTTACATCTTTGGAAGATGTTTAGCAGCACCCCTGGCCTCTACCCACTAGGAGCCAGTAGTGAGATATAGACAACATACTCAGAATATCCAAATCAATGAAGTTATTGGTGAAAATGAAAACTGTATCTTTTATCTTATGGAAAAAACGTAATGAACTTTTGGCCAACCCAATAATAAGGGAACGTATACGAGGGAACGTGTCTGTATGGAGCAGGAACTGGAAGCTTTTGTAGCGTTCTTTAGTTTAAAGAATAATAAAGTGCAAATTGGAAAAGAAATTGTCCTATGCTAATAATTTCATAACAAAGAATAATTCATTTTTTTTAAATTATATATCGGTGCCTTGTAATCTGTGTCAAGAATATTTAACAGTATTTATAGGCTCATAGGTCATGTTTCTTTATGTTCAATAATTTACCCTTTTTAAATTTGTATTTATTGATATTTAGAGAGGAAGGCAGATAGAGAGAGAGCGAAACATTGATTTGTTAAAGGTTGATGCACTTATTGCACTTATTGATGCAGTCATTGGTTACTTCTTATATGTGCCCTGACCCAGGATCAAACCCACAGCCTTGGCCTATTGGGATGATGCTCTAATCTACTCAGCCAGTAATTTATTCTTAAAAGGAGACACATTTTTATTTATTTATTTATTTATTTTTAGAGAGAGGTGAAGGGAAGGAGAAAGAGTGGGAGAGAAACATCAATGTGTGGTAGCCTCTCATGTGTCCCCTACTGGGGACCTGGCCTGCAACCCAGGCATGTGCCCTGACTGGGAATAGAACCAGCAACCCTTTGCTTCACAGACCCGTGCTCAATCCACTGAGCTACACCAGCCAGGGCAGGAGACACATTTTTTAAAGTTGTAACTTAACAAGTTCCACATGAAAAATATATAAACAAAAATCAAAGGAAACTTGTGCTCTACTCAGGGCAACAGAAGATAATAATTATTTCTAACAGCCCTCATATGCAATCCATTCTCTGAATTTACGAGTACGTTTACTTCAAGTATCTCTTAGTTTCTGTCTCCTTGGACTGCAACTTTTATTTATTTATTTATTTTTTATGTTTAAATTATTTATTTATTTATCTTTAGAGGGGAAGGGAAGGAGAGAGGGAGAGAAACATCAATGTATGATTGCCTCCCGTGCGTCCCCTGCTGGGAACTGGCCTGCAGGGAACTGGCCTGCAACCCTGGTATGTGCCCTGACTGGGATTCGAACTACGATTGTCTGGTTCACAGGCCCGCGCTCAATCCTGCAACTTTTATTTTTATTTCTCACAATATCTGGGGTCCTAAACTCATCGTGCCCCAGGCTAAAATTAATAGTTTCATTCCTACTCTTTGCCCCCTGACTCACACAGGAACACTAACAAAACCTCTTTCTTTCTGCCCATTGCAATCTTCAAAGTCACAACTCTAGAATCATCCAAAACTCTTTCTACTTTCTCCTCTCCCACTATCACGTCTCTTGGTCCCAATATCTCAAATATTTCTTAAATCTTTTCGTTAATCTCTAACTAGTTCAGTTTCTTTTTTTTTTTAATTTATTTTTTTAAATTGATTATGCTGTTACAGTTGTTCTATTCCCCCCTTCATTCCCCTCCCCCCCTGCCCCCCCATCCCCACCATTACCCCCCTTTAGTTTATGTCCATGTGTCTCAAGTCCTTTAGGTTCTATATTTCCCATGCTATTCTTGCCCCCCCATCTATTTTCTATCTACTATCTATGCTACTTATTTTCTGTACCTTCTCCCCCCCATCTCCTCCTCCCACTCCCCTGTTGCTAACCCTCCTTGAGATCTTGATTTCTATGTTTCCACTCCTGATCTAGCTGTCCTTTTAGTTTGCTTTTGTTTTAGGTGTGGTTGTTAATAACTGTGAGTTTGCTGTCCTTTCACTGTTCATCTTTTTTATCTTCTTTTTCTTAGGTAAGTCCCTTTGACATTTCATATAATAAGGGCTTGGTGATGATGAACTCCTTGAATTTGATCTTATCTGAGAAGCACCTTATCTGTCCTTCCATTCTAAATGAAAGTTTTGCTGGATAGAGCAATCTTGGTTGTAGGTCTTTAGATTTCATGACTTGGAATATTTCTTTCCAGCCCCTTCTTGCCTGTAAGGTCTCTTTTGAGAAATCTGCTGACAGTCTGATGGGGACTCCTTTGTAGGTGGTTGTCCCCTTAGCTCTTGCTGCTTCTAGGATTCTCTCCTTCATTTTAATTTTGGCTAATGTAATTATGATGTGCCTTGGTGTGTTTCTTCTTGAGTCCAACTTTTTTGGTACTCTCTGAGCTTCTTGGATTTCTTGGAAGTCTATTTCCTTTGCCAGATTGGGGAAATTTTCTTTTATTATTTGTTCAAATAAGTTTTCCACAGGTGGCTGTGCCTTTCCCCCTTCTGGTACCCCTATAATTCAGATATTGGAGCGTTTAAAGATGTCCTGGAGGTTCCTACGACTCTCCTCATTTCTTTGAATTCTTGCTCCTTGACTCTTTTCTGTTTGGCCATTATTTGCTTTCTTCTGGTCCACTCCATTGATTTGAGTCCCAGTTTCCTTTTCATCGCTATTGGTTTTCTGTGGAATTCCATTCATTTCCATTAGTTTAGCCTTCATATGTTTCTCTAATTTGTGGCTATAATCAACCAGATCTGTGAGGATCCTGATGACCAGTGTTTTAAACTGTGCGTCTGAGAGTTTTGCTATTTCTTCGTCGCTTAGATTTATCTCTGGGGCTTTGAGGTCTTCTTGCGACATTTTTGGTCTGTTCTGGCCCCTTAAGTGAGAGAAGCGGCGCCTTGGAACTCCCAGGTCGCTGGGTTGTGACGCTGTATGTGGAGGCGTGGTCAGAGCGGGGAAATGGCGGCGCCCTCTACTGCCGCTTGCCGTGGGGACGCTGGGCCCCGGTCCAACCGCCCACTCCCTCGCCTGTCCGCTCGCGCGCAAATAGGCGACCGCGGTCAACACGCAGCACCGCCTCCCCACTGTCTCCTCTGCAGTCGCTCACCTGGTGGGTTGCTCGGTCGCTCACTAGGTCCAATCCTGCGTTTGGAACCCGTGCGTCTGGATTCGCAGGTCTGGATTCCGCGCCTGGGTCCCTCCGACCAGTCCTCCTGTGCAACCCCTCACCAGATGCCGGTTTCGCCCCTTACCGGTCGGGCTGAAGAATTTGTTGTTAACAGACTTCCGAAAAGTTCAATTTTCCGTGTTCTGGTTGTGTTTTCTGATGCTAATATTTAGTTGTCCCTAAACTTGGTTGTGTGAGAAGGCACGGCACATCCACCTATACCTCCATCTTGGTGGAAGTCACTAGTTCAGTTTCTAAACATTATCTCATCTGCACCTTTGCAGCAATCTTTTAACTTGTTTCCCTACCATTGCTTCTCACCTTGCAATTAATCCATTACACCAGAGGGAGGTTTCTAAAACCTAAGTTTGTTTACAGAACCCAGATTCACGTGCCCCTTGCCTCAAAAGGCCAAAACTCAAAATGTCAGAATTTGGCATAAGGAAAGTTTATTGATCAAGAAAGCGCCAACTGAGAAGATTGGAGA